GGCCCCGGGCCCACGGCACAAGGCGCTTGGGCGGCCCCGGCCCTGGGGCACATGCCGGCGCCGGGTGCAAGGGCATCCCCGCCCCTGGTGTGCCCCAGGACGCGCGGCCCTGCCCCCGGGCGCCCGGCGCGTGAGTGGCCCCGCCCCCAGGCGCCCGGCAGCCTCTAAAGGTTGGGGACCACTGCTCTACTTGATGTACCCTCTAAAGATTATTTGTTGTAGCCAAGTCAGAATAGTTCATTCCATCTTTGGACTCTCTGCTAAAACTACCAACAGGTGGTCAGTTAGCCCTGTTTATTGTGTTGGTTTTTACTGTTTGGCTACTTGGCTCCTCTGACCAACAGCTCACCAAATCATGCTGCAGTCTTCTAGAACTTCAACTCATTTTCATACAGATAGATAAAAGATAGAATTTTCAATATCTAAAATTGTCTTAAATAAAATGCAGGACAATGTAGCACTTTAAAGACTAACAAACAAGATGGTCTATTAGATGATGAGCTTTCGTGGGCCAGACCCACTTCCTCAGATCAAATAGTGGAAGAAAATTGTCACAACCATATATACCAAAGGATACAATTAAAAAAATGAACACACATGAAAAAGACAAATCAAATTTCAGAACAGAAGGGAGATGGGGGGGGGGCGGAGGTAAATGTCTATACCTCAAGCCCATCTGCCTCCATTTCTAATACAGAAACTCCTATAAGTGTGGCCTCACTTAACAAATGAACACTGGGCTGAATCAGAACTGGCTAACTATCAGTAGTGGGCAGAGGAGAAAGAAACAGAGGAGCTATAGGGTTTTTTTTTCTGTCTCATTTTCACCATAATATAGAGCAGCCTATTTCTCCTTTAAATAAAATTATTCTGTCTCTTAAATAATAATCAATTAAATAAGACAACTTCATGTATATCAGCAACCTATTTGTTGTTATAATCCATTACTGAAAAATATAATGGTGCATTTTGGGTCATTACAAAAATAGCATAAGCCTTGTAAAGGAATTAAAACTATTGCTGATATGCATCTCTTCCGTGAGAAGTTACAACAGGTATTTATCTGTATGCTTCATTAGGCTCATACCAACATTCTTGTTTTGAGATTTTTCACATACCATTAGTTAGCTGGTATTTCTTTGCATTACTACGCAGCCAGCTAATTGCAAGATGTGCTGACTCTTTCATGACATCCCCCAGCTGTCCAGTTAGAGTAAGCTGACCTTCTCCGTCCATTTGGCTGGCTTCTACAAACATGATCTCACCTCCTAAAGGAGTCCAAGCCAAGCCTATGGCTACTCCTGCCTGATTCAAACGTTCAGATACCTGAAAGCAAACAATTCAGAGTAGAACACAATTTTAAAGAGAACATCTCAGAAAAGTTTTGAAAATATTTCTGAAAAGGTCTTATTTAACATTCAACATTTAAAATGAAAACTTTTAGAATAACCTAATTTGCTTGGGTAGGGATTTTATTGATGTCTTCAAAGCAACTACTATATTTTACACCAAAAGGCTAAAGGCAAGTCTCCAACTGCATACTTATATGCTATCCTTCAATAATTTGCCCAGCAGTGTTTCTCAACCAGTGGCAAGAGTCCCCTTAGGGGTATTTGAGAGAAGTCTGAGGTGTACGTGAACCCAACTGAAATTTGCAAAAAACTGAATTTTTGTTTTAAGTTTTACAGTGCTTTATTGTTTTTATACTTTTTACACCCAAAAATTTCATCACCCGCCAGGCTACGATTAAGTTGTTTAAACAAATGTGTTGCAATGGTAGCAAAAATTGTGTGTGTGTCTGAAAACTGTAGGTACTGAGGGTATTTTTTTTAAAGGGTATTTTATATATTAAAAAAAAAAAAAAAAGAGGTTGAGAAACACTTATCCTACAGCAAGCAGTTGGGCAAACTGGTGCTGATCCAGAGTCCACTTAAGTCAATGGGACTTTTTTCCATTTTTCAATGGACTTTGATCAAGCCTATTCTGCAAATAGTCATTCATTTTTTAAACAAGTTCACTTTGACTGTGTTCACCCCTTTAGGATACTCTCTTTAGGACTCTTCTACCAAGCAAGTTTACATGAAAAGTTACGAAAACCAAATGTTAACCTTTAATACTGCCCCAATGTCTTATTTCAAACAATGTTTTCAAAGGATATACGGAACAGGAACTATGAGATGCCAAACAACAACAGTAACTGCAAACCTTTGTAAAGCATTCCCAACAAAGAACGCACTGGAGAAAATGGCAATCTGCTAGAGGACAATGTGTGAGAAGAGAATATGCAAAATTAATCAAAATTGCCCAGTTCTACTAATGAACAAGGCCTTGCCCCATAGGAAGTACCATGTGCCTGTCTTGATGTAGCTAGGACCTACTTAGCTGAAAGAATGCATACACTTCCCTGGGCTATATAGCCACTGTTGAAACAAGTGAGGGAGCGTGAGCTGGTGCCATGTGAAAGAGAGAAAGGGCAGATGGCACGATGTTCTCAGGAAGGGCTCCTTTGGTTTGGAATAAGGGTGTTAAATATCGGTTAAATTTACTAGTCGAGTAGTCGATGGGATTTCCATCAACTACTTGACTAGTCGATAGGCACTTCCATAGTCCTCCTTTGAAATGTATAAGAGCCTCTGGCTCCGGAGGCAGGTACCTTATCCACTGCGCCACTGGGAGAGCCTGCTGGGGCTCTTGTACATTTCAAAGGAGGAATGTGGAACTCCATGTGCAGTCCGGGGCCAGTGGGAAGACCTGCTGCCTCCAGGCTGCACACGGGTGCACCAGTTTTGAAATGAACAAGAGTTCCCAGCAGGGGCTCTTGTGCATTTCAAAGCGGAAGTGCCCTCATAGAGCCTGGGGTCAGTGGGGGACTCCGAATCATAGAGCTGGAAGAGATCTCGGGAGGTCATCAAGTCCAGACCCTTGCCAAAGGCAGGGCCAATTCCATCTACATCAGCCCAGCCAGGGCTTTGGCAAGCCGAGACTTAAAAACCTCTAGGGATGGAGATTCCACCACCTCCCTAGGTAACTCATTCCAGTGCTTCACCACCCTCCTAATGAATTAGCTTTTCCTAATATCCAACCTTGACCTCTCCCACTGGATCTTGAGACCATTGCTCCTTGTTCTGCCATCCAGCAAGGATTACTCATTTTCCTGAGCAGTGTCTAGAACAAAGGAAAAGTGTTCCTTCATAATGGAGTATGTATGGAGTAAGTGTATACATCTAAGGCCATGTCGACACATCTGCACTGCTGGTGAAGATGCTCTATGCTGACAGACATACGTTTGCAACATAGGCTGTAGGTTGACAGTCTAAAGAACCACAAATAAAGGTAGCATATGCAAGTCCTTTCCATTTTAATATTTTGTCCTTCCTTTCCCCTCCCCTTCCCAGAATTGCAGAGATTAAAATTCATTTGAGTCAGGACTCTGTAAAGGTGGGTTATTAACTAAATACTTTAAGAGCATCAGTTCTTAAGCTGTGGGTCAGGATCCCAAAGTGGGTTGTGATGCCATTTTAATTTAATTTTAATGGGGTCACAAGGACTGACATAGACTTGCTGGAGCCCAAGGCTGAAACCTGAACCTCACTTTTCGGGGCCAAAGCAGAGGCTCATGTTCTAGACCCCCAACCTGGGGCTGATGCCATTAGACTTTGGTCCCCTGCCCAGGGTAGAAGGGCTCCAGCACACTCAAGCTTTGGCCCCCCTTCCTGGGGTTGTGCAGTAATTTTTGTTGTCAAATGGAGGTAGCAGTGCAATACGTTTGGAGCTCCTGCTTTGAGAGAACAGTTTCAATTTACGGGAGTGGAAAAAAAGTGCCTCAACTGTTGGGGGGTTTTTGGTAGCAGGGAGCAGAGAAGCGATTTTGCAACCTCTAGGCAAATGAGTGAAAACATCCACAGTGATAGCATGGATGCAATATTTCTACCTGACCTGATTTCACAGCACACTTCAGTTACATCCTCCTTTACAAACGTAAGATGCAATGTGAGGAAGGGCATCCACTGTAATGCAACTGTGCTACTCTAAGAATCAAGGTTTTTAACACAAGCCCGTTTGTGTAAATGTTTGCACACTAGCTATCCTCTTCCTCCTGCCTTCCACTGCAAAATACCCGTATTACGTCATCAAATACTTGAGGGCAAAAACATCTTCTCGGATGCTGAGTGGTGTAATGAGATTCTTTGGAATGTCTACTCTCTATATAGCACAGATTATTATTACCCTAATAGTTTTCTTAGGTCTGTTTTCCTCCAAGTGTTACCACTAACAAAGAAACTACATTGTACAACACTGAAAATGTAAAGCATTGTATCTGGTAAGTGTGAGCAACAATGGCTGTACCAAATTGTAAACTCCATTTTATTTTGTGTTTTCCACTGGGAGTGCTAACTGCCAGTTTGTATTCTGTGTTGCAAAAGCAGCGTGGCCTTGGTCCTGCCCAAAAGGATGAAATACACTGTGAACATGACTTTCAGTGAGACACCCATGAAGGCCAACCAACTTTGTGTCAACAACCGATCTATCCATCACACCAATGAGTTGTCTACAAAGAAGTCCTGGCACCTGTAAAAGGGGGTATCACGAATGTTTCCTCTAATCTTTTCCATCCACGTGCAGATATTTTCCATATTTGTGTGGAATTTTTTGTGTACACAATGGGGCATGTGCAAGTGTGCACCACCTGTTGAAACAAAAACCTAGCTGTGTGCGCTCTGTTAATTAGCTAGGCAGCCTCTGAATCTTTCCTGAGTGGCTGTACAAGCACACAGCTTACAGGCAACACTGCCCATGCCACGTGCCAGAAGATGGCCTGGACAGTGTGCCTTAAATACGTGGAGCTAGAAACAGGAAGCATGTGGGATTCAACAGTTGGGTCCTTTTGGTGGTGAGCAGGGCCAGGTTGTGACAGTAACGCTATGTTTACAAACTTCTGCTGGTCATGATTAAGCAGACGTGTTATCCATGACCAACAGCTCTGCTGGCAGAAGTCTGTGATTTAGATGCAGCCATAATGGATGAAGGCTCCTCCTTTCAAATGGACATGCAAACAATTACCAATACAATATTCAGGCATTAATGCCAATAATCTGTCCCATCACACTGTATAATTAACACTGAGAATGCAAAGATTTCTTAGTATCCGGCTTTTACAAGTTCCCTTTCCTGTTTAACAAATATAAAACAACTTCCTTTCTGCAATTAACAAATGTTCCTTCTCCAGCTAGTGCCAGTGATGACTGGTCTAATGTGGATGAAAGAAAGGTAACTGATTCTCACCCTGTCTCTCAGAGGGACTGTTCCATTTGCAGGCCCAGCCAGCTCAGTCAAGTGCAGGCAAACACTTCTCACATGTGTAAGAATTAAAGATGGTGGAAGGCAACAAACTGCATCTGAAGCTATTATCCCTTCACAAAAGAGAACAAACTCCACAGGCTCCTTTTCAATGTTTCGACATTTCTGATTTTGTGCTTTATGCTTCGTCTGAGCTGCAAGGTGCTTAGTACCTAATAGACTTGACCCATTACCAAGTGTGATTTTTCTTAATGTTTATTTTTCAGTTTGATGAAAAGCTGTCACTGTGCCATTTGTGACTGGCTCCTGCATTACACCCTCATTGCTATGGGCTCCTGAGTTGGAGAAGAGCAGGCAGGATGGCAGATGACACAGTGCCTTTGGACTAGGGATGTAAGTGAATACTCGAGTAAATTACTAGACTACTTGAATCCCCCCCCCAAACACACACACACCTTGTGAGGCACCAAGGAGGTAGGGGGGAAGCAGGAGCTGGTGTTGGGGAGCTGGCTTAAAAGCAGCAGTGGAGGGGCAAGAGAGGCCCACTGCAAGCACAGGCTACTCTGCATCCCACAGACAGGGGCTGAGCAAGCCGGGCTTAGTCCCAGCTTGTGCTGGGTCCAGGACCTTTGTGGCTCTGAATTTTAAATGTATTAAGAGCTAGACCAGTTCTTACTACATTAAAATGCAGAGCTGCAGCAGGGGTAGGTCCCAGATCTGACTGAGACAGGCTTGATAAGTCCCACCTCGTACCACATCCAGGAGCTACACCCGCTGCAGCTCTGCAGTTTAAATGTAGTAGGAGCCGAGCACACAGGTAGCATTTAAACTGCAGAGCTACAGCAGGAGTAGCTACCGGACCTGGTGCAAGCCAGGACTGAGCACCTTCCCTTATCGACTACACGATAAGCCATTACCCACCCCTTATCATCCTTACTTTGGACATAGACAAGACATTAAGCTGTTTGCATTTATTCACAGGTTAAATGTGCCAGGAACAGAACCAAAGTCTCTAATAGGTCAGACTCCAAGTGTCATACATTTTTTCCCCCACTATCCTTCCCTTTAAGTGGCAGACTCAGCAGAGATAATGAAGTGCGCAGGCCTTAAAAACTGAACTACAGCCTATCCCCTGGAAAATCTTGTCACCCAGATTTTGGTTGAGACATGCTGATTGGGAGGAAAGCTTGTCCTGGCAACCTGGGGAATGTCTTCAAGCAAAACGTCTCTCATCAACACTAAATCTGCACAATTTTTAAAACTGAAGTCCATGTTTATATGCAAAATAGCTGAAATGTTTTGCATACGATACCACACAACTGCACAAAACTTGGTAGCTTGTATACAATCACAGACATGAAGGACTGGAATGGACGTTCACAGGTCATCTGATCCATCCCCTCCCACACTGAAGCAGCACCAAGTATATTTAGATCATCCATGGCAGGAGCCTATCCAACCTGTTCTTAAAAACTTCCCAAGACTGGGATCCCATGCCCTCCCTTGCTAACACATTCCAGTACTTAACTATCCTTAGAGTGAAAGCTTTCCCAATGTAAATAAAGACATTGGCCACTTATGCCATTGTGTCCAATGTAAATAAAAAAGACATTGGCCACTTATGCCATTGTGAGAGAGGAAGTGGTTCAGAGGAATTCAAGTAAGAACAAAGCTTCACTGCATTTGCAAAATAACTGACATTAACAATGGTTATTTACAATAATCCCTGAGCCCCAAAGGAGTTTAATCAGGTTAGAAGTGATTGGGCCTTCTTTTGTCCTGTTTCAAGTAGTTTATCCCAAGTGGCCATGAGACCAATCCTCATTACAAACTAATTGTAAATCACCACTATTAAATCTGTTTTGGTTGCATGGAGAGGGCTAAAAATAAATGACACAAATATCTAAAGAGAAGCTGAACTCACTAAATCATGTTTTACAGATCAGCAGACATAAGAGGAAGAAATTATCAGAATGTGAAGTTTCAGATGTAATAAAGGAAGATAAAAAATGATGCTAGATGGCAAAAACAGCACTTTGCTTTCTAGATGTATATTTCTTTGCTGTATCCGTTTATAAGAGGACGACCTTTTTGGTCACGATGTAATGCCTTTGATCCTATAAATCTACACGCAATGGCCAAGACTGTAGCATTGCAGCACAAACGTGACTAGATGCTAGGTGTGGGTAAAAGTAAAATTAAGCATCTGGCCTGGTCAGTCTTACTCCATCTCTCAGTACACCTTGCTCAAACACACAGCAATAACAAATAGGAGAATGTGATGGGGAGATATAGATCTAAGCATTATCATAACTGGCAAGGTGCTCAGCCTCCTCTCTTAGGACTTCTTCCTGTTGCTAAGTTCAAACTGGCTGTGGCAAAGTAGTGATGGCTTTGGTACAAGATCAGATTCCTCCAAGTATCCTGATCTGCACATCACTTTTCATCTTGCACTTACATGATGAAGCTCCTACTTGACTATAGTGCCAAAGTGCAAAGCTTGAAAATCAGAAAACATTACATTTTTGTAACTATATGGATAAGAAGTACTGGAGGTATTTAGATGGGGAGGACTCTAGCTTGTAAACATCTTTTCTCTTAAGATTGCTGTAAGAAGCATAGGTTGAAAAGTTAAAAAAAATGGGAGAGCAAATATATATTAAAAACATCTTTAGCATAGCAAAGCTGTAATATTGTTGTAGCTCTATCAGCCCAATATGAAGCTCAAGACCTGTGACCTCTGAGTTTTCACTCTATTTTGAGTCAGGTTTCAAAGATTTAAATGACAACTAAGCACCAGGCCTTCCTTGGGCCAGTAATTTTCCAAGTGCACTTTGCTGTAATTATAGGGACATGATTCTAGGATGCATTAACAGGTGTGTTGTGAGCAAGACATAAGACATCATTCTTCTGCTCTACTCTGCGCCATTTAGGCCTCAATTAGAGTATTGTGTCTAGTTCTGGGCACCACATTTCAAGAAAGATTTGGAGAAACTGGAGAAGACCCAGAGAAAAGCAACAAGAATGATTAACGGTCTAGAGAACATGATCTATGAAGGAAGACTGAAAGAAATGGGCTTGTTTAGTTTGGAAAAAAGAAGATTGAGAGGGGACATGATAGTGGTTTTCAAGTATCTAAAATGGTGTTACAAGGAGGAAGGAGAAAAATTGTTCTTCCTGATCTCTGAGGATAGAACAAGAAGCAATGGGCTTAAACTGCAACAAGGGAGGTTTAGGTTGGACATGAGGAAAAAGCTTGTAACTGTCAGGGTGGTTAAACACTGGAATAAATTGCTTAGGGAGGTAGTGGAATCTCCATCTCTGGAAATATTTAAGAGTAGGTTAGATAGTCTAGACAGTACTGGGTCCTGCCATGAGGGCAGGGGACTGGATTCGATGACCTTTCAAGGTCCCTTCCAGTTCTAGCATTCTGTGATTCTCAGACATTTTCAGTTTCATCTGGGTTTTGCCCACGAGTCTGTGAAAAGAGACATATGTTTTAGTGCACACTGAAAGGTACATCACCTCCTTAGCAGAAATTTAAGTGAGCTAAAGATGCACTGAGCTAGTCCAGGAATCGGCAACTTTTTCAGATCAAAGAATCAAACTATTTCAATATTCAGAACAAGTTGTCAACAAAGAGCTGTGTAAGAATGCTTATTTGCATAACTAAAAATATATCACGTAGTATTATTGATAATTGACATAATGATTGATGATAGCACAAATGAAAAACTGGACTCACAGACTTTATATAATGGGACTTCTGCTGCTGCATCTTTTCATACATTTCTTTGAAGTTTACATCATTGGGGCTCAAATCCAGCTTCATGAACACATTCAGGCTGTCTTCTGCCAGTCTTATGGCAGGGGGCTGGGGATGTGGGGATGCAGGGGTCTGGGTTGGGGTGTATGAGGGGCTCAGGGCAGGGGTATGCAGGAGTGTTAGGATGCTGCAGCCAGATGAGGGATGGGCCTCAAATGGGGGCTTGTTGGCCAGGCTTCATTTTTAAACAAAGTAAAATACTGTATCCAACACAAAACATTGTCTTTATGGCAGGGTGGGGAACCCTTTTTTGGTCGGGGGCCCCAACCCACAGAAAAATCAGTTCGGGACCACACAGGTGAGAAGCAAAAAACACCCACCCCTTTCCAAAAACCCCCAACTGAAACACCTCACTCCCCTGGTGCTCCAGACCCATGGCAGGCGAGGACTGAGGTTCAAGACAGATTAACGCTTCTGGGGTTCCAGGGTTAGTGGATTTTGGGGGTGCAGGGTCTTGGCACCAGAGGGGGAGGGGGAAGAGGTGCAGGGTCTGAGCGGCACTTACTCCCCCTTCCCCACCCCAGTGTCTGTAACAGGGTTTAGTCATTGTAACAGATGCAAGTCACTCCCATGTGGCAGCCAGCCATTGCTCCACATGGATCACAGAATAAGTTAGCAGCCCAAGGGCAGAGGGTGCAATGGATGCCTTGCCTTGCCAGAAGTGCAAGAAGTCCGGCCAGTGGGTCAAGGCACGGATGGGAACCAGCCCGCTCAGTTGTGCTTCTTGTACCTCTCCAGGCTGCCCAGGATCCAGTCCGCTGGCACTAGGAAGAAGGTGTTCAGGCTGAGGACAGACTCCTACACCTCCATGGGGCTCTCTGGTGGGTGCAAGTGCATGGCCCATGCGGGTGGTGCGAGGCGGGAACAAAGCAGTGCATGGAGCAGTGTAACATGGCTATGATAGCAGTGGGTCCCTTTGCGGGCAAGATGGCATTCGGATCTACTTTTTACGCCCTGTGCTGCTCTAAGGCTCCCTGTCCTAGGCATGGCTTCCCGCTGCTCCATTGGCTGGATTCTGATCAATGGAACAGCAAGAAAAGCCTCCAGGCAGCACATCTCTTCCTCCAGCTGGGAGGGGGAGTGTGCGCATGTGCACAGAGCCATTTGTGCCTCTGGCTCCTTTGCCAATCGTGCAGCGAGGCTCAGGGCTTTCTTCACCCCCTGCCGCTGGAATCCAGCACTGGCTCCAATCTTGCAGGGGGTGAGAGGCTGGATCGCGGTAGCAGAGAGAGCAAGGGGGGGACTAAGCTCATGGTGAGAGCCATATTTGGCTCCTAAGTATGCCACAGGTTGCTGACCCCTGAGCTAGTCACTGAGTACAAAGTATTTCTACCAGTACTATTATTGACACAAACATACTCACTCTACAGCCACCTCCCTCTCAGGAACAAATCTAGTCAACTGAAATGTATTCATTTTAAGGTATTCATATACTACCAGTGTCATCATGTGTTTGATAAACCACAAAACACTGTAGTAATATAAGAATAGGTTTAAATCTCACCAAATTCAGGGTCTTTTCTGTACTGCAAGCATTAAAAATATGTTTGCAAACTAGATAATGAATTTCTCTTCATTTGTTAAGACACATTAAGAAAGATGTGTGCGTTTTTTATACACACACACACACACACACACACACACACAGGGCTCAACAAACCGCTGAATCTACTCACCCGTGGCGAGTAGATTTCCGCTGGTCGCTCCATGCACCCCATTCATCAGCACTTCGCACATGCACAGTGCCAGTCTGTGTGTTTGTCAAGCCCTGTGTGTGTGTGAAGCTCCGTGTGTGTGTGTGTGTCACGCCATGTGTGTGTGTATATATGAAGTATACATGAAGGTCATGCATTTAACAATCTCTGAATTTTTGATTACTGAAATTAAATGTTTTTCCTCAGTTATACAAATATCATTGATGCACTGCAGCCAGTCATTTTTAGATGTGGAATTAATCTGGTATTCAAAGAAATTGACCCTATTCAAACTAAAGTGTTTTATGTGTTCTTTTATATTATACATCTGATGTCTCTTTCACACTCAGAAGTCTCAATTTTCTAAAACAATTCTTGGCCATAAAATTACTTTCATTCCTTTTTGTTTTTAACTTGTGTCTGTTCAGAGTATGTCTATAAACGTGGATCAAAAGAAATTGGGTTTCTTTTTCACATGCCATAGAAAAGCTTTCAAAACCCATCCTTTCTTTTCCCAAAGTATTTCCCCTTTAGAATAAAAACTCAATTTCAGCCAAGACACTGGACCACATTTAAATGCACACCATACTTTAAATAATTTCACATGAAAAAATTGGCAGAGGGAATAAAAGTAGACAAAACCGTTTACAGGTCATCCTATCTCTAGGAATTGTGTATTACTGAATGAGACCAGTCAAAAGGTTGCACTTGACATGGTCCCTTCTTTGCCCCCCTTCAAAAAGCGGCATGTCACTTTGAGTTAATCAAAAGTAATTCTCTTCTCTCTCACTGAACATTCATTATACAAGACATATTAAATAGCCAATGGCAGTATATTTAAGACCACAGACTTCTAATCTCTAGTGTGTCTAATTTGGAAATTGAGTAATTCAGCATAGCTGACAAATGCCAAGTCACTGATCAATTATGCCAAAATTAGTTATTAACATTTTGTCACTACATTGTGTCTCTGCAGGTCCTTCCTCTACACCCCTTCCTATTCCTTCCTGGTGGGCATTTCTGTGATTTATTCCCTCATTTACCACTGGACAGTCACAGAAGGCGTTTTCCTCTAACTGGATGAGACTCTCTTCTCCTGCACAGCAATGAATGTGAGGAGGTCGGACTAGGTCCCTTCTGACCTTATTAAAGTCTATGGGTATGTCTAGACTACAGAGTTTTGTCGACAGATTCTGTGAAAAATAAACTTTTTTTTTAACTATTAACTTGTGTTTATAACTGTGGTACGAGGGGGGATTTCAACCTGGAGGGAGTGAGGGAGGGGGGATTTCCAACATGGAGGGAGGGAGGGGGGATTTCCAACATGGAGGGAGGGAGGGGGGATTTCCAACATGGAGGGAGGGAGGGGGGATTTCCAACATGGAGGGAGGGAGGGGGGATTTCCAACATGGAGGGAGGGAGGGGGGATTTCCAACATGGAGGGAGGGAGGGGGGATTTCCAACATGGAGTGAGGGAGGGGGGATTTCCAACATGGAGTGAGGGAGGGGGGATTTCCAACATGGAGTGAGGGAGGGGGGATTTCCAACATGGAGTGAGGGAGGGGGGATTTCCAACATGGAGTGAGGGAGGGGGGATTTCCAACATGGAGTGAGGGAGGGGGGATTTCCAACATGGAGTGAGGGAGGGGGGATTTCCAACATGGAGTGAGGGAGGGGGGATTTCCAACATGGAGTGAGGGAGGGGGGATTTCCAACATGGAGTGAGGGAGGGGGGATTTCCAACATGGAGTGAGGGAGGGGGGATTTCCAACATGGAGTGAGGGAGGGGGGATTTCCAACATGGAGTGAGGGAGGGGGGATTTCCAACATGGAGTGAGGGAGGGGGGATTTCCAACATGGAGTGAGGGAGGGGGGATTTCCAACATGGAGTGAGGGAGGGGGGATTTCCAACATGGAGTGAGGGAGGGGGGATTTCCAACATGGAGTGAGGGAGGGGGGATTTCCAACATGGAGTGAGGGAGGGGGGATTTCCAACATGGAGTGAGGGAGGGGGGATTTCCAACATGGAGTGAGGGAGGGGGGATTTCCAACATGGAGGGAGGGAGGAAGGGAGGAAGGGAGGGCAGACAACTTAAGGATAATGGTGGCCTCGCCTGGGCCGCAAGGCTTTGCCCCCCCCCAG